TATTATTTGTTTCATATCCAACAAAGAGCCTTGCAAAGTCGAATGCGTTGACCTTCACCGCACTATAATTAACTCAGATTGATGTTTAGGCTATAATGATCATGATATATCCTAATTCATTGTGGTCTAGCTCGTTTTTGTTACAATAATATATGTTTTTTTAAACTCCCATAAACTGATATTAAAATTAAGCGTCTTTTTAACGTTAAATAACTAGTTGTACTTAACAGAAAATAAATTTAGGATATGTCATTTAAGAGAAGAATATGTAATATGCATGGGAAAAATTACTTTTTAAATTGATTCTTTTAATTTGTAGTAAGTAGACAAAATAATATAATATCTATCTACCAATTCCAAAAGAATTCATTATTACTAGTTTTATTGACTAAATCAGTGTCATCGAGGTTTTGTAAAGTTAAATATTATTCTTCTCATAAAATTTTTATTGAAAAAATCAGTAATACAAAACCTTGTATGCTTTTTAAAACTTAATTAAGCATATTAACTGCAAGCTAACACATACAAACATTTATACAAAATAATAACATAAGCAAAATAAATTCTAACGAGAACACGCGAAGAAACTGGATGAATTATCCAGTCCTACAACATAATACTTTTCAATTTAAATTAGCACGTATGGAGGGATCGGTATAAAATAAAGAAATAACTCTGTGTGGTCAGAAAACTAGACTTAATAACACAGCTATTAGTCATAACATTGAAGAAATATTAAAACAATTTCATTTACATATGTATACAATTCAATACTAGAATTTTTCAAACGAATTTTAAAAGCATAATATTGTTGCGAAGAATTATAAATGATTTTAAGTAACACAATGTTCTTTGTAGAGACGAACTTGTCAATTCTAACACCACAGTTATTAAATCCACTGAAATCGATCCATTTTTTATGTTGCGTGTATTCTTTTTGCTTCCCAATGACTAACCCAAGATATTAAAACGCTATTAGTATAGATGGAGCGGCGATATATCATTTCGGGGCGGTGATTTTATCGCTCTTAAATGCGGACAGGAATTTCGATGTCTCAATATTTTTTTTTTGTGGTTTTGCCGAAATAATGTTCCGACTACCATTAACAGCTCGTACGGTTGATGCGAAATGTTCTAGCGAATGTTTGTATGGGAAATAGACCTCCCTCGATCTGTGTTGCGGTTTCAAAATGTATTCGTTACATAAGAAATTTTTATGATTCATTAAAATTAGTAGCTACTGATGTTTTTTGATTCAGAAATAGAGATGAAATCAAGCGTGTTTCCTGTTGTATAAATCATTTGAACAAACACACCAAGTCCTTCCGAAAGCGATATTTTAATATTTTTTTTTTAATTCAACCCCACTGATTGTTGAGTGCCGGCGATGCATGAAATAACTAAAGGATTAACAGAAGATGACATCGTATATTTTATGATAAACTCATATAGTTATGATTCATTGCATAAAAAGTTTCAAACCACACATATAGGTATACTTGAAAGAAATTCCCAGCATATTTCTCACCTTTTTGTATTGAAATTAAAATATCAATTTCAATAAAATAAACATTCATACCGCACAACGAAGACCAGACGAAGCAATTATGTTACGACGAGCATGGCTTGGTTATTAAATAATATTTCATAAACTGCACCGTCATACACAAATCATCAGTCGAGTGTCGAATTTGGCGTTGCCTTAAGAAGCCTGTATTAGTAACAGTTGTGCTCATAAAACCTCTATAGGGGCGGAAGGCTCTTTCAAATCTATCTTGCTGTGCGGTGACCACACTCGCGCAGACCTGTACACATAATAAAACTTATTTACGCTCACTCTTTAAACTCTTAACAATAAAGATACAATAAGCTTCACTGTAAATCTATTCGGTTTTATTAAAATGAACTCTATGTCTTGCTATAAGAGTGCAGTTTTGTGTGTACGGAAAGCAACATGTGTTGTTCTTATTTAGTATGAAGAAGTTATTTGTTAGTTGCGTATTGTCTTAGTAGGATATTTACGTTTCGTAAGAGATAAGGGAGATGCCTTGTGATTCAATCGACAGGTTTCCTTGTTTATTTTAGCAGTAGGCTGTTTTTTTCATGTTTCTTGGTAGTTTACGAATTGGGTTTAAAACTCGCAAGTACTTCCCAAAGGATTCAGCTTGAGATAATTGAATGTTTTACTCAAATTAACGATAAAAAACGTACAGAAATTTTCATTATGTGTTTGTATATATATATTTATTGATTTTTCGTATGTTAGCAATTATTTTTTATGTCCTGTCAAACACACAATGTCTCATTATTAACGCTATTTGTGTGTCCGCTTTGAAACTGAGTTACTCCAAGCTACTTGTATTTTTTCCCTCAATCTTAAATCAACTCTATTCCTTTATTTTTGGACACAAATTTAGATTCTCAGTTATCTTCCTTCCAGGAAGATCAGTCTAATAAAGTTCTCAAAAGTCTGAAAGCTAAAATTTCATGGTGCGTTTTTAATGAAAACTGTATTTTGTGGAGCAAAAAAAAATGTTCGAAAATAGACTTTATCACAACGGCATAAGTTTCTAATTCAATTATATGCAAAAAGTGCATCTCTGAATAAAAACCCTTAATTAGTAACACTTCTGTTTCAATGAATGAAGAAGAATTGGCCAATTCAAAAGGAGTTATTTCAAGTTGAATTTTAAACCTTAATATGACGAAATAAATCTCATTATTCAATGGACTTTTATATTCATTAATTTAACCGTTGTATGGATTTCCATGGGGATTTATTGTGACAATATAGCTGGCTAATTTTGCATTATATGTAATACAAAAGGCGTTGTAAATTATAATGTTTCACCTACTGTTTGATATATTGGATAATTTACGGTAGTTAGGATTTATTGTACAGTAAAACTATCATTGGCTATCATAGACTCATAGTCCTTTTAATGGACATACCAGCTTGTAACAATATCACATAAGAACCTTTTTTGAAAACAAAGATAATATTGAATTCAGCTAGTACTTGTTTTAAGACGACATTCGTTCTAGAACTTTCGATTGTTTTTAGTCTTTTTGAGTGAGATTTAGGAATTAGAATCTAAAATTAATAATTATTCAAATTATCAATTATCTAAATATAAATATGGGATATATATTAGTTTGATTTGTCCCAAATTAATATTAATATTAGTAATATTGAAATGTCATCTGAAGCCAGGTGATGCTTCATCCAACATATGTTCTTACAAACATCTGCGTCAATTTCATGACACGACTATTCAATTAGATGACACGTGACACGTGACATCAAAGTTTTTTGTCATCACCACTTGAGACTTTAGTGAGTAACTATAGTGAATCTATAAATAATATTTGTACGATTTTATGTTTTTTTGTATATATTTCTAAATGTAATAATATCGAGCAACTTTTTTATATACATATATATATTTTTCTAGTTTTATGTTTATTTTCTAACTTAAATAAATTTATTTATGAATATTTCTACCTTAAATTTATTGTTAACGGAATTTACATAGTTGTATGAACATAACACTAATAAATGTGTATAGTGAGACCGCACGCGTTGATGTCTTTATTAAAGGAGATATAACAGACAAGTTTATGTCTGCTATATCCAACATAGTGCAAATTAAATATACATATTAAATGTCAGAATATTAAATACATTCATTATGACTAACAAATATTTATTACTTAATAATATTAACTACTATGACCTATACATATTTTTTAAATATAATATTTTTATTATATATTTATATACATAGTAATATATAATATAAACATCGTTTCCGGTGCACGTGGTTGTGTGTCTGTCGTCGTCGTGATTGGTCGCTGGCGCTCCACCCACTGCGCACGCGCATCTTAACGCGCCCGGCCCAATACAACCACAGTATTGACACGAGATACTGGTATACATTTAAATTCAAAAATATAATGAAAATTCAGATACACATTCAAATAAAAGATTTCCAAATTAAATAAAATATAAAAACTATAAATATGTTTATAATAATAAAATTAAATATTATATTAAAAAAATCAAATTATATATTTTTCGTTAATATAAATTTTGTTACTTAGAAAAATATGTATATAAAATTATTATTAAAACCTACCTGTAAGTATATCCTCAGTTATGACTATACAAACAGCACACAATGGTTGAAAGGCTTGCATTATATGACCTTGTCCAGGAAATGATAAGAAAAGGGTAGCAGTAAACTTATGTATAAATGTATTTTTGCATAACGAGATATTCTATGGATCGGTTGTACTTTTTTTTCCTAGAAAATAAACGCGGATCTGCTTCTAGAAAACACTTGAATTGTTTTCGTACGAAGTTCATAGGAATTGTTTATGATTTTTTACTTGCTTTATATATAAAGAAATGTTTCTAGTCAAATATATTTGGAATAATAATTATAATACACTTAGTTTTAGAAAGAAAAATTAATTTAGTTTCATTTAAAATACACAAGATTAGCATATTTACTATACAATATATACATTGTATTTTTTAATAAATATACATAAATATTTTCTAGGTATCAAATAAAATTAAAACATTGTTTTTAATATTTTAGACGAGTTTTTGGTAACAAAAAATCTTCAACCATCCAAAAATTTTCAAATCTTTAAAATAACCGATGCATAGAGTTAAACATAATACTCAAACAAATTACAATAATACATTACACAAAACAGTTTCAAAAGTCATCAGAATTACAGGAATAATTTCAATATATACGGCGAAGGTCAAAAGAATCAAATACATTAGCTCAAGTTCATTAGCTAATGACGAAAACGTCGGCTGTGTTTGCTTAAAATCCAAAACAAAAGCATCTTATCTAATTGCATAAATGAAAAAAAAAGGCCCGTGAGATTTTACGGGCGTGCAGGTAGTGCCTCCCACCTAACAGCCTGGCGCTCCGCCTAAGAAGACGTCCGTTCAGTCAGTACTGTGCGGCGTCTGACCGATGGCGGGTCCGCCCATCGATATGAAGTGGCTGTGTTATATTGTGATCATTATGTGTCTCAGGTGCGAAGCCGCTAACAAACCTAGAAGAGGACGCGGCAGCATGTGGTGGTGAGTTTATATATCGTATCATTATCATATCATAGTCATCATATCATTGATTAGTTATGTCAAAAAATTGATGTCAGTTTTGTAACTTGTAAACAATGTGAGATATGTCTTAGTTCAGTTGTAATGTAATATTTATAATTGGTTCAGACGAGTAGTTCTTCATTAGTCGTACGTTATTATCTTGAGTTGTGTAAAAAATGTTCAACAGAATGGTCAAAGATGAATTTTATAATGAGAAAGATTTCATCATAAAAATTACTTCAATTAACAAAGACGTCTGAAAATTTTAATTTATGTTATTTACTTAAAATTTAATGTTAACTATAATTTACTTATTATTCATCAATATGACTAAAAACAATTTATCGTTGACAATTCCAATCTAATGTTACTTCACATAAAATCGAATAAAAATATTATTAATCTTAATATGAAATGAAATAAATATTTCAATTGAAATCTTATTACCGTGATTATGAGTTGATTAACGCATTTTGTTTAGTTTCATGAATTGAAACATCAAAAACAGTTATTATTATTTAAATATATGAATGAAAGATCATTTTAAAAATATTTTTTCATTCAGATAACAACAATATATGAACATTGTGATATGTTGTTTATATTTAAAGTGTCCTCTTGACTGACGCTAGTCAAATCTGTATTTGCCCACACTATCACTCGGCTCCCGGTATGCGACACTATAGTCTTAGTAATCCCCATACCACAGACTGTAACATCTACTAGATATATTAATTTTTTCAGACTATAAAACCATACTAATAATATAAATAAAAATCTAAAATATATTGTTTTAATTTTTTTATATCGTATATAAAAGTTTTGCTAATTTACAACTCGCATAAAAATACAATTAATTACTTTATTTATTTTCATGATAATTTTTATTATTTCATATATCACGTACCTAAATAATTTTAAATTAATTAATTTAATTTAATAAAGGACATTTTTTTAAGTCTTATATTTTGTTAATAAATTACAAAACAATATTAACCTTCTACCGTCGGTAGGAACTCGTGTACTTGAAAGTCGAGTTGAGGGATTCAAAACATATAATTTAAAAAACAACAAAACTAATGCCGTTAGCACTTATTAACTATTATAAGCGTCCGACGGAGAGGCTAATCAATCATATATTCAAATTAAATAAAGATTAATTACATATTTTAGACACTCAAACAAAAAGAAACAATAACATTAATAAAAAATAACTTTGTTATAATATCAATAAGATGATTTTAACAGATTAACGGATTAAAAACAACTTAAAACTTTTTAGTTAACTTCAATCTTTTATCTTTATAGAATCTTAAGTTGTAATCTATCTTTTCTTAAATGCGAGTTAATGTGACATAATATATAAAATCCCTTAGAACTGAGAGTAAATTAAATTATTTAATTTTCATTATAAATGTATATAATAATATTTTAATATTAAATGTCACCTCTAAGACAGTAAAGTTCAAACTTAACTTATCATTTATTTTATCAGTAGGAGATACAGTGGCGCGTGCGCATTAAATAAATATACCACTTGTTTGTGTGATCAAGTAATTGCGATGGAAATAGAAGTAATATCATACAGTTTAATATATAAATATATATCTTAAATCGTGATAATAACTAATAATTTAAAATATATTTGATTCGTATTTAAAATATAAATATTAAATAATAAAGAAATATTTAAAAGGTCACGTATCTGTACATGAACACCTATGAAAGCTTCGTATGGTATCTTAAAATGTATATTTAAACAATAAAAATTATTATTATAATAAGTAAATAATAAAATTTAATATCAATATTAAGAAAATCGCTTTTAAATAACATAGAACAATATAGCGTTTTTTTATGACACAACTTCTCATCTTCTTCTTCATATAATAAAGTATCGTATATCTTTTAGCTACTAAAGAAATTATTTGTTTAAACATACATTTATAATGGCATTTATGTTAGTTAAATAACAGTTAATAATTTAACTTATATAGTAGTAAATAATTACAATATATATCATAAGTAGTATATAATATTACTATTTGTACGTGTAGTATAAATTTATATGGTGTCGGAAATTTTATACCGGTGTTCGTCGGTACCGGTACGTTCTCAGTTATAACCATTTCAGTAAATCAATTTCACTTTCGTTAAATACCTTTCGGTATCTTCAAAGTCCTAATTAGTTTCTGCGAACGATACAAGTAATCATTCAATTAAAATTACATACATGTGTACTGTAATTAGCGAACGTTTAAGGAAATCTCATTAGACTTATTTGTTATTATTTTGCAATGTGTTTATACTAACTCGTCGAAGCGTGTTTCTATGAAAGTTTGACGAAATACGTAATACGTGACAGACAGTCAAAAGTGTACGAGTTCATAACTACACTGGCAAGAGACCAAAGATAATATTTGTTATTTTGACACATTCAGAGAGTCTTTATCTTTGTTTAAATATAGCGCTTGCTCGTGAAAGCTATTCATTATTTTCTTGACGACCCCTTATTTGATTTCCTTCCAAAGTGACAAGTGTAAGAGACTTAGCACATGGACATCCATTACATTATTAAAAAACCTCAGGTGATAATTATTACATTATCTTATTCTGAAAAGAAAATCGAATTTTTTATAATTTACAAGTAAATAAAAAAAACAATATTTACTAATAAAAGATTATAGTACCACTATTAAATAAAAATAAATTAATGCTAGAATCAACAAAACTATATATTTGTTCTGTAAAATACATCATAAGAAGACATTACAATATAAGTGTACCACGACGTCGTATCTCCATGAATTCTCTCGTAGGAAATGAAAATTTCCAACGAACACTTATATTTACGTAACACTTGACTACAAAGAAAAGTAAATAGAGAAGTAATACGTTTTCTAAGGTTCAAAGCTTTGTTTTTTGTGAGCCTTTTACTATGAATGCTATGGTAAATTTCAAATAGATTTATAATATTATTAAATTATACATCTCTCGTTCAGAAACAAAGGCATCGGTTATGAGAAACTTTGCGAGCAATGTATATAGTTCTAGATGATGTGGATGTCTTTTATGTCTGAGATTTGTATACATTAGTGAGTCCAAACCAAAGTTCCATGCAGAGTCAACAGGGCGAGATGTCGATCGCTCTCGTCTTATTTACCCACTCGGGCTTCGGGGATTAATGCGCGACGCAAATATTTATCTAAACGTCTGTAGATTGACAGTTCAGTCGTCAATTGTTTGTTATCCTTACCTTCCCAAATGAGCATTTCATTTCGAGTTGCAACCATTGCCTTAAGTGGCGTTTGGTTGCTTGTTTAATTTTTTTTTGATCCCAGGGTCCGATCATGTTTGCTATTGTATTTTGCGACGGCGACATTTTACAAGTGTTAGCACTAAAGGTTCTCTTCTGCTGTGATGATTTAAGATCGCATTTCATACTTTATTTAGTTTGTGTACCGGAATATTTTAAGTGTCACTTTTGACAGCCATGAAGCAACTCTAATGTGGGAATGTTCTTCTTAAATATAATCAGGATTATATTTTTATTTACAGGGGCATAGCGAAAGCAGGCGAGCCGAACACTCTCTCGCCTCTTTCACCAGGGGTCCTATATATGGATCCGGCAGTCCACGCAACCTTGAGGAGAAAACAACGAAGGCTGGCTAGAGAGAATCCTGGAGTACTTGCTGCTGTTGCCAAGGGAGCCAGTATGGCTGTAGCAGAATGCCAACATCAGTTCAAATACAGACGATGGAACTGTTCTACCAGAAATTTCTTACGAGGCAAAAACATGTTTGGCAAAATAGTCGATCGAGGTGAGTTCTAAATATTTTTTTTCTTAAAACATATTAAAGGTGTGCTTCATAAAATAAAAAGAGAACAAAATTAAGATATTGAAGCAAAAAATAAATTATGATGATACATAAAAATAAAATAATTGTAACGACGTCTAAAGGATACCAGAATAAGATGCTTTTAATTTGATAATAATGTATTCAGAATATTGCGTGTTGCCTTTACCTACTGCAGAGCTTATTGCCTCAATAAACATAAAATTTTAGTTTTATAAATTGTTTATTATGGATTTAATTAAGAATAAATTTTGATAAAGACTGACAAGTTAATGCCTGAGCCACGATTATCTTTTTGTCAGTATTAAAAAAAAACAAGAAGCTTAAATAGCGAATATGAGAACACGCGTCGTTCGTTTGTCTCAACTTTGTCCCAAAGAAAAATACAAAACATTGAAAATAACTTAAGAAGATAATCTCTAAATACCCATCGAGGATAGCAGGAAAACAGATTACGATGCATTGAGACGTTTAAAAGTTATTTAAAAAACATAATCAAAATTTTCCTTTCAATGCTCAATTGGTATTTTAAAGTTGGATACAAAAAGATTTGTTTTTTACAAGCCCCTAATCCGAGTTACAAAGAGTGGCTACAAATTAAGTGATATCTTTAGTTGGCAACCCTTTTAAGCGATGTTATCTGTATTGAGCGGGAGGGTAGCGCGCCGGGGGCACGTATAAAGGACTCATCAAGATAAAACATCCTGGATCAATTACATGCGACCGAGTGACGTTTCGAATCCCGTTTCGTCGATGGCCCTTTTATTTATTTCCATTATGGATTCATTTCGAATGCTTCACGACATTTTTTAACGGACAGCTATAATCGATTGGATATATTGATATTATGGATTCTTTTATATGTTTCAATGTGAATTAATTTCGATCCGATGCGTCTTAATAACAAAAAATAAACAATGAATTTATTTATAAAATATGTTTACAATACATACCATTAGTTAACGATTGAATGATGTTTTTGTTCATGCAAAAAATATTATCTTTAAAGTTTGATAACAATCTACAAATCAGAGGTATTACCTTAAAAAGTTACTTTGAGCGTATCGTGCATCATGTAGTTAGCGTATACTGCATTGGGTACGTAAGCTATAATAAAGAGGCGAGATTAAATTTATAAAAGGTGCACTTACGAAAATTAAAATGTTATAACAACCGGCCGTGCATTTGTAAATACATTGTGTGATGCATTAAAACCTTTATTATGATCGTAGGAAGGTTTAGATTAAGTTGTCTTTTATTTTCGCGACTGTATAAATTATAGTTGTACTTCAAATCAGGCCTGCCCTATCTCCGGTGTCCGATTTCGATGCTTTGTGCGCGATATGCCTTATTATGAGCCTGCGACCGTCGAACATCTGGTCCCTACTTCACATTATTCGCTATTAGCAAAAAAACAGATCGCTTTGTAAAACAGAACTATTTCGACTTTTTATGAACCAAAACAAATGCGATTGAAATGAACGTAACATGTTTGTGGGATCAAAATAGAAGTTATAAAAGCTTTCTTCGGGGTCAGGCTGTTTGGAATGGGTTATCTTGAAAATTAAAAGCGTTCGACTCCATATCTCGGCCTAATTCGATCTCATTTCGAATATACGATACTGGATATGTATGTATCATGCGCCAAGGTTATTGAACCCTGCCGTCACGTTAATGAAACGCGCAAACGCTTTCAGTAACTGATGTCTCTATTAACTTACACTCCTTTCTTAAAAACATTTAAAACGACCCTCTTTGTAAATATTGAACGGACTACTTTTAATATTGACGTACAATTTCCACTAAATATACGATTAAAAGATATTATTGACAAAATCTTTGGTATTCCATATTTCTTTTATTTTATATATATCGAGGTAAAAGTTTGGCCAAACATATTAACATAATTATAAACTATAAGAGATCAGAGGTCATCATTATATGAACGACAAATCACAGTTAGATTTATATGTTTACATTATTGTTATTTATTATCTAAGAATAAACAACTTTTGGTCGACACCAGCCGGCGGCGAGACGGGTGTGTTGTCTCAATGGACCTGTTCATTCAGTGAAACAAAGAATCATTTAAAATTATTTCATATAAAGAAATTGCTCAGATAGATGCTATTAAAACTATAAAGTTCATGAATCATTTTATTCTCTATTCTCAAGTCCCACACATGAACGATATCGAAGTAATAAAATAATTTAGATCTGACAGAAGAATGATACAGAAACGCCCAGAGCAAATATAAATATTGATATATTTTATTTCGACACAGCTATCTAAAAAACATTATCAATTTTTCTAAATTGAAATCCAGATACACAGACCACCGTAGCAATAATTTCACTCGATAAAAAAGAGTAAAAGGCTTTATATAATTTATGTTGTATGCGTGTGCATTTAGAGCATATTACTTTATTAAGGGCAGGCAGGGCGGGCGAATCGCAGACCTATAATACGTATCGGCCGCAAATGTCTGCCGATAAACTTTTTAATACATTGTAATTACGTCCATTTGAGAAACGCATAAAAACGGACAACACATCGCGGCGGGAGTCCCTATACAACGTAACTCATCAATAATATATACGTGTATATTATAAAATATGATTTTGTATCGCAAACAGTTCATGCACCGAAATCATACAATAGGGTTTACTCGTTATAATTATAGTTCTGTCGAACAAAGGCCCCCCGCTCGGAATGAGAATAATTACTAATATACACTTCAACACGCCATTGACAACTTGAAGCGACATCTTCATTATATTGTGGTGTAAACCTCAAGGATCGTATTAACACAAATGATGACAACGGGACAAAGCTCCGGTCTTTATAGATCCGAGTCATTGTTGACCCGAGAATAGAAAAATATATGGCCGGGTACCCCGCTGCGAGGCCTCCTGCGGAGTCGTTTGGCGAAGCGTCTGTAATCGTACACGCTCCACGGAAGCCAAGTTTACACCTAACGCAGCATCTAATAGCAGGTAACTCGCCCAATAAAACGACCATTCTCAAAATATTTCCTGTTTATAAGATTTCGTATGTCAGCCCCCGAGACTCCAACATCGTGGGTGGATAAAACGTACAAAACGACACGGCATCCAAATAAAACGGATATAAAATGCCCTCGACGAAATATTTAATGCTCAATTAGATAAGCGTTTTGTGTTTTGTGAGGTTTAAATTGTTTTTAAGTTATATCAATTTGTGATATTAAGAAGAGATAAAATGATTTTTATACCTTATTAAAGCTGTTGAGTATGTAATGTCAACAAAGGACGATGTTTATTAAGTTTTGATGTTTTTAGTAGTTACTGGTACTGCAAATGAAATTATTTTGATGTATTTTTTGTAGTTTCAAAACAAATGTCATTGTTCATTGTCTGAATAGGTGTCGGAGTGGCTAGTAGCGAGTGGTAGCCCCGAGCGCTTTGTGCCACTCACAATGAGTGATATATGAGCGACGTAATTTCGAATTGTCGTGGCTGAGAAGCTTCTAAGGGACCAATGTTATATTATCACCCGACTGCAGCATAACGAAAATGAATTATTACATTCAAAGGGATTTTTCTGAATGTCATCTATTTAAATTATTTCTGCTCAGCAACGTCCTCATTTTCTCTCTGGCAAATTTTACTCGTTTTTACTAGTTAATAAAACAATATAAGACTAATAAATGTCATCACGAACACCAAATATACGGTAATAAAAGGATTTTATCATCGCCAAGCCCGTCTCCATCGGGTCACAGCTATACCGACAGAACATCTTATTATAAAACGGGTGATTTATGGTTGTTTTGAGTAATTACACCTCATCAAATTTGAATAATGCCCAGTCGCCATAAATATTAAGCTACGTGTAGTGAGACGCGCGAAATCGTCATAAGTCAATCTTTTAAATTAATCTCTCTGAAACACCTCCGCGTGATGACTTAATAAATATGCACGGAACGTATTTAATTAGTGCATTCATTTCGAATTACTTAATGGTGTTCTCGGCCGAGGTGTTCATCAAATGTCAACAGTTATTAAATTTTATTTAACGAAGCCTTCGTCCGGTCACCGCGTAGTTTTATTTACGAGTTTTTGACTTTTATAAATCCTAAAAGCGTCGCCTTAACTGCCAATCCGCTGTGGGACGGAATTATCGCTCGGTGCTCGCGTTGTAAACCGACTTCGGGACCATTTATTATACACACAGATAACCCACCGACAGCACTTTATTATCAGTTATTATAATAATTTACTTTTATAGATTCACATTACTCATGTTTGTTCTTATTTGACTGCGGTTTGATGTGGTGGAATTGCTTCAATAAAATAATAGCTGGCCTTAATTATAAATGCTTCATATTTATGCTATAGGCCGTTGTGGTCATAGTTATTTGTATAACATAGTTATATATGGCTGACGTCGGATTATGGTTGTTTGTATATTTAATTAGACTCATAAAAAAAATCTACATTTTATTAATACCGTGACTAATGCGGTGCCTCGAGTGGAGCCTCTTTACATCTGTCATAATTTTTCTACGTCGCGATTTATTCGCATAACGCGACAATCCTCTTTGTTGTCGCAGTAAATTGATGGCCAGGAAAGCGAACAAAATAAATTGAATTATTTATAAATACATAAATATTTCGTCGTCGTATTAGAGCAGAACAAAGACTGAATACAGTGGTACGTCGGACGAGTTAGTTTCGAACGTGAATCACGCAGACAAAACTTTATAAACATATCATACCAATTAAAAACGTTATTTTGGTTGTATATATTCCTAATTGGTAAAATAATGTTATTCCGTTATGTCATAACGGAGATAAACAAATGGCTGTATAAAAATCTCAGCAGGTGTGTAGATGTGTTCGTACGTGTAGCTTGTTGGACACTAATCTATGTTATCACTGGCTGGTTCCCAACACATGATGGCCCACCTGGCCAAGGCACCCCGTCGCCTCGGCTCAGAAATGTCCGTTAACGTATCACCTTCGAATCAACTATAAATGCTCGTTAGTTTTTAATGATATCGAGAAACATTCTGATTAATAATAATTAATTAACGCGTTTAAATATTATCTGTGGCCGTTTTTAAATTAAGCATTTCAATCAAAATTCATAAAGACTTTTATTGTAACCGAATGAATATAGTCGTTATTAATAAAACGGTAACAAAGTTCTATAGACTTTCAGATCGAATATACCTTATTGTTGAATTAATATCCGAGCATTGAATGATGGCGAACTTGACATTAAAATTCCCAGCCGAGCGTCTAAAGTAATTGCTGAATAAAATACATTTGTGTAATGTCCAAAAGAGAAATACAAAAAGTGAGCCGGGGCTGGCTGTGTGCGTTTAGTAATTTATATCGGTGCATGATGACAACTCAATAAAAAAATGATTTCATTTGCTTATTGAGTCCTTAATAACGACGGTGGGCCAGTTGTACCTAATATACAAAACTTATAACAAATGTGACTTATAATTCTTTAATTTAAAACAGTTTTTTTTCTTATTCACAAATGTGAATGGAAGGCCACCAAAGAAGTTTGTATATAATATCAATCCGATTATATTCTGTAAACATTTAATTAATAAAACGTTTATTAGACGAATTTAATCATATTAACATCTTATGACACGATCATTAATATTCAGAATGTTATAATTAATATACACACGTGTAAAAATTTAAATTTGGCATATGAAATGTTAATTATATAGCAGGCTGTTATTTAATTATGATTAAGGTAAATGGTCAGTCAACGAACTACTTTCAATTTCATCGTCCGAGGAAATCCAAATTAACCTTGACAGAGACGAGATCCACCGATGAGTCAGTTTTTTTTATCATAATAGATGATAATTATTAATGAAATCAACATATATTTTTAGAACAGTCTTTTTTTATTAATTTTTTTTTCAAATTCACCAAGTTTGCTGGGACGCTGATAGAACAGGAAATAAATTATGAGATATTAATTAAATAAACGAATGTTGTAATACAGTCGTTAAGGAATAACGTGTTAATTTCAATTTCGACGATTAAGAAAGATCATTCTTGATAGGGCCACTTTTATCGATATTACGATCGTTGATGAATATCGATATTATGAGATTCGTTGCGCGCCAGTACTTGTAATGATCAAATTTATAATCTCCCGGGTAGGTAAGATGAACTTCTTTATTTTCAAATCTTCGAGATATACCCTCTCTTTCTTTTAATTGTATTTTATGAGTATTTGATTCTAATGCCGGGCCATTAATTATTTATAGTATTCGTTACGGGATGAGAACATCGATTTATGTATTCCATTGGAAGATGAATGAATGCATCGATCCTTTTGTGTTCGTGCTTCGAGTTCTTTCAATAATTAGAATGAATTAAGATTTATTTAATTTGTCTTATTAAGTTTTACTGATTTTTGTTTTGCTAAAGGCGTTATAATATAGTCGTAAGTAACAATAATATTTTGATAGTCATGTTTTTTTTTTGTTTTTATATCTTGCGATTCGACCTTATTTTTTATCTCTTAGCCCTAAGCCATAATAAAATTTGATTAAAATATGGGTACCTGTGTTGCTGGCATGAATTAATTATGTGAATACCAAACATGCCTACCCGAAAATACCATAAAGTATATATTCTTATTTTAAAAACAACAATATTAAGCCAGAAGCAAGGTTTGATACCTGCCTTTTAAAAGTTTATGGCAGTCTATAATCAAAATACTTTGAAAATGTGTCGTAACAAAATATATGGATTTCCAAACAAAGAGTGCTAATTGTAATGGCATATTAAATGCCAAACTTTTCCATTATCTGATTCAAATTGAATTACTGATTGATTTACAAAAGAACGACCTCAAGTTTAATAATATATCTTTTATTTTGCTCATGCAATGTGGATTATGAGACACATCAGCTTACAATTAATATTATAAGATTTTTTCAATATGTATATTTTTTTGATAATGCATATTAATATTCTTTTTTTTGTCTCAGGTTGCCGGGAAACAGCGTTCCTATACGCGATTACCAGTGCTGGGGTAACTCATGCAGTGTCCCGAGCCTGTGCCGAGGGCGCGATCGAATCTTGTACTTGTGACTATTCGCATGTCGATCGCGCACCGCATCGCTCCCGAGCCGCCACCGCAGCCAATGTCCGCGTCTGGAAATGGGGTGGCTGCAGCGACAACATCGGCTTCGGATTCAAATTCAGCAGAGAATTCGTGGACACCGGCGAACGAGGCAAAACGCTGAGAGAAAAAATGAACCTGCATAATAACGAAGCAGGCAGAATGGTACGTTTCATACTTCATTACCACTTGAACTAATGATTCAGCCAATCCACTTACGGTAGCTGGCATATAATAAAACAATCCGAGTACCTGAGGACAGATATGTCGTCAGTGTTTACATTGACATTACAAGTGTCGATCGATTGTCAGCTCCTTGACGTGTCGCTTAAGTCTAAAATTAATTATGCGTCAAGCGGCTCGGCCCATCGCACGACGACTGCGCAACACGCACCCATTCGTTGCGCTCGCACATCTCCCTCCCACCTCACACCCACATTTGCATACCCACTGTCCATACCTTCCTAAAATCCATCAGAAAGGACTCCGGGTGCTACGGACCAGCCGAAGGCACCATTAACAAGCGCGCTTAATTCCTGTCACGACGGACGCATTGGGTGTCCACCTGATGAATATTCAGAACATTCCATCAATTGTTTAACACATATTTAGACACTGGACTGTATAACGCAACCCTATCTACATGATAATAAAAAGAACTCGACCATTTTCTACGAAGTGTATACACTTGAAGGATAGGAAAATATTTACTGTCTCCATTCCCGCGTCATTTATCTACCTTCTTAGAATGATGAATGTATGTGGAGCATGATTTATGACCCGTCCACACACGGTGACGACCGGCCCACCTCTTCACGATTTGTAACAATTTGCTCGATCGTAAGATGCGATCGATGAAGTGTGCTTTAAAGATCATCGATCACCTACATCGGCGCTTATCGAAGGAATTTAAAGATATTTGGACATCATTATAGACCTCCTCACACGATTGAATAAATTAAGAACTCGGATGTTTTTTCGACTTATTATTAATCTTTTTCCTTTGTCCACAGCACGTGCAAACAGAGATGCGGCAGGAATGCAAATGTCATGGTATGTCTGGATCTTGTACTGTGAAAACATGCTGGATGAGGCTACCAAGTTTCCGATCTGTAGGAGATGCGCTGAAAGATCGTTTCGACGGCGCCTCAAGGGTAATGATGCCAAACACAGAAGTTGAGGCACCAGTGCAGAGAAATGACGCGGCGCCCCACAGAGTACCACGAAGAGATCGATATAGATTCCAACTTCGGCCTCATAATCCAGATCATAAGACTCCTGGGGTGAAGGATCTGGTGTATTTGGAATCATCGCCAGGATTCTGTGAAAAGAATCCAAGGCTAGGCATACCCGGGACGCATGGACGGACCTGCAACGACACCAGCATCGGAGTGGATGGCTGCGACTTAATGTGCTGCGGTCGTGGTTACCGCACAGAGACCATGTTTGTCGTGGAACGGTGCAACTGTACGTTCCACTGGTGCTGCGACGTCAAATGCAAACTGTGTCGCACAGAAAAAGTAGTACATACGTGTTTATAGACAGACTCTTATGACGCCTACGCGTAAGCGATCTACAAGAGAAACTTAGTGAACTTGTGACTCGAATTTGAGAGTTCTTTAGAATTCGGTGGTAGATAGAAAACAGTGTACATAAAGCATTATCTTTTATTCAGAGTCATTGAAACGTAGTTCATTGTGACTTATGTAAATAATATTTCTATGTAACATTATATTAATCCGCTGTGAAATATGATGTTGTCATCTAATTAATTTATTTGGCTTTTAAGTGCTAATATGTGATCTAGTAAAGTTTATCGCTAACGCTTTGGTGGGATACTAATGATTTCAGTTAACTATCTATTTATTGATATTAACTCCTTGCGAATATGTACTGGAGTCTTTGGTTTCCCTCCGCGGCCAGGAATGTACATTTTAATTTAAGATAATGCAACGTGACTCACCCGAGCATAAAAATCCGACTACTTTAAATGGTATTCTATAATATCATTCTAAAGTTATAATTTATATTAATATTTCCGTGAAGCTGTATACTTCGTATAATGATTTCCAGTTTTATATACTTTCTATTTTATAAATGTCCGCATCGGGTGTATCGTCGCATTAAGTGTTGTGAGACTCGAGAGCGAAATTATCTTGTAATTATAATTTTATATTCATTATTTGTGAGGCTAAGGAAATTTGTGACTAAACAGCGTTAACATAAAGCATTTTTTTCGGTGTCTTCTGTCACAGGTTGCACTCGGCCTTATCAGGGAATAAGTAGCGCCATCGTAAAAGTGTCCCACATTATAAGATAAACGCTCTCGAGAATTTTAATTAAATATTAAATGAATTAAATAATCAGTATTATACGTATAATATTGTATGCGTGCTGCGTCCGATATTTCAAGATAAACTTGCACGTAAGCCCTATTGACACTTGTTATACATTTTAAGTACCCGCTTGTCCATTTCATTCGTCCATTATTTATTATTTATTTAGGCTTAGTGTTATACAATTGGCTCAGGCCTTCCTCTCATTACTGGCCCTGGTACATGATGTATGATGCAAACCTGCCTAAAATTATGTAAATAAATTTAATATGAAATCTTTTTAATTTTTAGTCAACTTCTGATCCGGGTTTGATACAAGACTTCTTCTTAGCATAACAAATAGACGTTACCTTTCATTGAAAATTAAATTGACCATTTATATTTAACAATGACCCAAGTTACTTATGTGGTCATACAGTTTGTTAAATGAGAACCTTTATTCATGATAATATATGGAAATAAATTATATTTCATTTGTGATAAATATATGTAGTATAGTTAATATGTCTTAAGAGGAATATTGAGCTTCACACAAAACTGATAGCGTTAACACGCTTATTCCATTTGTATTTAGGTATTTATTAAAATCTTATAAGTATGAAATTCGAATTTAATAAGTTTTCAAGTAATGTCCTTAAGTTTATGTTGGACGTTGATTAGCATGTTCTTACTATCGAATAAAATAAAAATGTAATATTATTATTTTTTAAATATTTATATGTATTTGAACGTATTTTAAATTTCTTATATATGAATATAGATCTAGGACTAATACGAGTACGCATGGTTAAGTTAACTAGTACATTTTTTCCCATTTGTAAATCTTTCTCGATGAAATTGTTTAGTTTTACAAGTGATAATCTGAAAATATGTGTTCTCATTTTAATGATGCGCACTCGTAATAGATAAAATGCTTCAGTATTGTACGCTATCACAGAACTTGATGTCGTCAATCTTTAAGATTTTGATATTAAAACTTAATAATCATTAATTTTGTACTACTGGCCCCTTTGATACCGATTGATGACGACATCTGTGATACGCCCTTAATTTTTACCTCTTGGTATTTTATAGTACATAATATTTTACATTCAGCTTGCGGTATGTAAGTGTCTTAACTAAAATATTGATGAAAAGACTGAAATTTCTCTTAATTAATCCGTTATTGATCACGCAACTTTTTAATTATGAGCAAAACTAATTAATTATATTTAAATTAATTGCTGTCATTACAACCATATAATTCGAAACATCTTTTATCGGTGACAGTTAAATTCAAGTTTTAAAATGTACATTTATAAAATTGCCAGTGTATAAAACGCATGTACATTATATTATTATTAATACTTTTTAAGTTATTTATGTGAATGTGGGTTTTTTTATTGTTAATATTAATCAACAATATGAATGATGTCAGTTGAAATCGTCTGAATCTCAAATACTTATTGTATAGTGAATTTACCTGTTTGAAATAATTCGTCCAATGACCATTGTTTGGGTTGACTCATTGTAATGATATTGGTTGTACATTAGTATCTATTTATGATTAAAATATTGATTAGTTGTTACTGAAAATACAAAATTGATCAAAAATGTGGTTTTATTTAAAATAATTACGTATGAAAAAATATTTGTGCGATGTGTGCACAGGTTGTTATGGATTTTAAAAATGATTAGATTTCGTTTTCATTTTCCTTACTTTATTCACATAAAACATAATATACATTTAGATTTTTTTAATATTATTTATTAAAAAAAAGATAAATAAACCTATACACAAAATAAGAAAGTCCAAAAATATATATTTACGAAACTTATAGTCATTTATTTCAAAGAAAGCAACGTATTGAATTAACATTAATAAAGATCTATATCTTCTAATATATCTTTTGTCTTTGTGTTAACTACACGTTAAACATTATACATTACAACTCAAGTCAACAAATGATTCATGATCATTTTATATGTATTACATGAACAGCATGTTGTTCGTGCTTGTATTGTTATACTAAAGTTATCCTGTTCTATGGAAGATAACATTAACATACAGCTTAAGGCGCTTTCCACTAATAATATAGTCACGATCCAAGCAATCTCATCTTCAACTATATTATAGAACAATATTACTCAATTAAAGACTGCCTATATTTGTACACTAACAGACTTTAAACTGACAAACGAAAATATTTATTAAATACGTATTTATTTTGTAGCAATAATATATCAAGAATAGTGTCACGGTCGAAAGACTGAAAACAAATCGAACTACTATCTGTTATGGTGAAACTACTTCATAATATCTCTTGGAAAGCGTTTTAATATTGTTAATCTTGTTTATAATGGTACGTAATGGGTAAACACGATAACAAATCAAATGGTTATTGGCAATGCGACATGGAATGTTTAATAGCAACCATCGACGTCCAACTCAATGTATGATGATGTTTCCATCTTTAAATTTATGTGAATGTACTACAGAACGGAACGGACACTGACATATCTCCGCCATTTTGTTTTATTGCGAACGCAACCGTAGAGCCTGCTTTTGATAGCGGGCAATTTTCTGAAATGGCTTTATTTTCTAACAAAAGCGTATGATAGTAATGCAAATCAACTTCTATTGTGTATGTTTAAAGCTTAAATTCCTGTGTATATTAATTTTGAAAGTGAAAAGTCTTTCGGTGTTGGTGGTCGCAGTGCCCCGGGCCCGTTCCCACGAGTATCGTGCGCACAGGAAAATTTATGTTTATGAACTGAGAAATCTGTCATAAGAGATACGAATGGCGTGGATGAATCTGAAATAGCATAAGGTAATTTTTGATGGAAAGGCACCTGGATTTTCATAAACATGTATTTTATTACTTACATTTTCTCTGGGAAAAATTGCAGGAGGATATACATGTAAATATTTTAACTAAACAAGAAAAGGAATAAAACGACATAATGTACTAGTAGGTGTTAAAGAACATTTTGATAACTCCGTACTAAGTAAGAGAGAAGGAATTATAAAAATAATCATTACAACACTGTTTACTTTTTTTAATGAGACGACGGTAGATGAAAAATAAAAACAAATTCCAATTGTAAAATGTTATCTCCGCTATTCTGGATGACAGAACGTATACTGAACGAATATTGATTTTTCTTTACATTTTGTAATAAATTGAAACATTTTACAGCTGCTACATAAAATTTATTGATCGTAATAAATGTGGACTGCATTGTTAGTTGCCAGCCATGCTGAAGAACGATAACCTACGGCTTATATCTTTAGCACTCTGTTTGTTTTATACGAATGGTAAGTTTAAGCATTAAATTTAATAGAATTTAATTTTTATTATTATTAAATTTCAATTAAAGTAATTAAGTGGTCTTGTGTTTTTCTATTTTTATTTATCTTTTCTTTAGCTATTTTTAGATAATAAAATCTTCAACATAAAAGTTTTGATTATAATGTATGTTATTTATTAATAAATATTTTCTATGTTATTTTAAGATAAAAAAATACTATACTATAATACTTTCGACATTTTAAAACATTTTCACGATTTTATTTTGTGCTACTTATTAAATTTTATTGCTCGTAACTTTTTAGATTTAAATCAATGTAAAATGTATAAGGTTATGCAATATATTCTTTTGTATGATTTAAGGTGTAATCGCTTCAACTATAAAACCTGATATTCTAGAGAGTTTGGATCAAATTCGTGGTTTGGAATTAACTGAAAAGGACATACGAAGATATCACATATGGGAACAAGGAATGGTTCCTTATTATATTGACGACTATTCTTTTGGTAAAAATTACGATTTTTTTCAAGGGTTTTAAGTAACAAAAAAACTACACAATCAGCTTTTAATGGATTTTACTGTTGGGAAACATAAATGTTCCCACATACACAATCTTATAAGAAATTTAAAGATAAATGTATTTTTTATTGCAGACAAAGTACTACGGGATAGAATACGGTTTTACTTAGATCAGTTAAATAAGGCGACTGGTTTGCACTTCATGGAAGTTCCGCAGCCACCAGAAGGCGATGAACACCGCTGGGTCTTCTTCCTTAACAGGAAAGGTCAGCTGGGATGTGCTGATGTTGCTTATAATAATTATACCAGTAAAGGAGTGCAGGTAGTATATAAAAGTACCTATAATGTATTTACTAATCAGTGCTCAGGATATAATAATATTTTTATTTAGAGGGTAGTTTTGGGATACGATTGTCTCACGCCCGAAGATTTGGATGAAATAATCCTGTCGTTAGTAGGAGTTCCACCTCAGCACAATGCACCAGATCGGGATGACTATGTCACAGTAAATTGGGATAATATTTTGCCAGGTATAACTTTAATATTCTATTTGATTATTTTTTTTTTTTTTGAAAATTATTGTATTCGAAAAATTACTTTCCTGTTAAAAGTATAATTTTCTGTCTAGGGTATGTATGAATTGAGTAAGATATTGTAACTTGATCCTTAAATGATATTTTTATTGTAATAAAATATGTGCATATCTAAAGGTAAATAATAAAGATTTTAAACATTCAATAAATTTAACATGTTTATTTTGACACAATTATTTACTTTACAGATAAACGTTATTTGTTTGAGAAATTCAAAGCCGATGAATGGGCCTTTGGTAAATTAAAATATGATTTTACTAGTGCTGGCCATTTTCGCACACATAAATATACTTCAAATGGAGGTGAAACGATTACGCCAAAGGTACATTATTTATTTGTAATTCGATGATTTCACTATATAGTATTTTTAGTGTTTCATGTTATGATACAAATTAAAAACAATTTAATTTTTATGTATTTGCTATTTTAGAATATAGAACACTACATGGAAGGAAGAAAAGGCCTGAGTCCCATAGACATTAAAAAAATAAGAATGTTTTATAATAATATTTCTTTTAAAGTCAAAAAACCTATGCAAGTACCAGAATGTAGCAAATTATTTGTACCTGGAAAAAATTTCAGTAAAGTAAGGGTAAGTTCAGAAAAACCGGATATAATATGTGATTCAGAAAATGCAAGCAATCATGAATGTCATAAAAATAAAGGCAAGAAGAAGGATAATGGAGATGATGATATTGAAGATATCAATAATGATGATGAAAAAAATAATACAGATGTCAAAGATGAAAAAAATGAAACACTGGAAATCAACCAAAATGAAGAAAATGCTACAAACGATAATGATAACAAGTCTGATGAAAATAATGATAAGCAAGATAGCAAAGTAAAAAAAGAGTCTACAGAGGAAAAAAAAATGCATAGTATAGATAAAAAATCACCAAATAGTAAGGAAAAAGCTCTTTTGTTAGTAAAATATCACGAGATCGAAAAAATTAAATCTCCAAAGCCTGGAAAAAAACAGGTCAAAGACCCCAAGTCTTTAAGTAGTAAAGACAAAAAATTGTTGATGTCAAAATATAAAACAATACAAAAAATTCAAAATCCACAAACAGCGGAAATGAAATCAAGTGAAGATGAAAATACCAAGCATTCTAAAAAACTTAAAGGGGAAACTGATGAGAATAAATCGGTAAATAGTGAAGAAAAAAATTTTTTGCTCGCAAAGTACAAAAGCATTAAAAAAGATAAATATGCAGAATCACATAAAAAACTTTCTAAACCATTAACTAGTGATGACGAAGATAATAAGCATTCTAAAAAACTTAAAGGGGAAACTGATGAGAATAAATCGGTAAATAGTGAAGAAAAAAATTTTTTGCTCGCAAAGTATAAAAGTATTAAAAATGATAAACATACAGAATCACATAAAATAAATTCTAAACCATTGACTAAAAAACTCAAAGGGGAAACTGATGAGAATAAATCGGTAAATAGTGAAGAACAAATTTTTTTAATGTCGAAGCACAAAAGTCTTAAAAAGAATAAATATGCAGAAAACACTAAGAATTCTAAAAAATTCAAAGGGAAAAAGCTCCACAGCAAAACGTTAGACAGCGAAGAAAAATTTTTTTTATCCCACAAAAATAACAAGGTTCGGCAAATTAAACCTTCAAAAACTCACAAAACACCTAAACACAAAAAATCTCAAAAGGATAATAAGAAAAAATTAAAAGGTAGCCATTCTACCAAATTGCAACGTAAGATTTTGGCGAAATCCGATTATGAAACTGGAGAGGAAAATGTTAATTTTCATTTTCAATAAAATAATATTTGTTATTTAAAAATATTTTATTAAATTTGTGTTATAATATTATCTATCACATTAAAGGCACGTTTGTATATCTCTTTTAACATAGCAAGTCTCACAAATCACTTCGCAACACCATTTAAATTGACAATTACAATTTTCGGCTTCTCTGATTGTATTTTGCACGTAACCCCTCCTACAACAAAGTTGATCACAGCTATCAGTTCCAGCGGAACTTACGTTGCACTGTCGCCCTTCTGTTCCCAGAGATCCAGTCTTCATATTAAGTGTACAAAAATCGGGTGATTCTTCAGAGTATATGATATCCTTCTTACCAGGCCGTTTGATATTTGGACTTTCTGGCATAAAGTTATCACCGTCATTATTTGAAATCACCTGTAACAAATATTTAATTTTTATGACGTATGTATGGTTAATTAGCATGAGTTTTGTTGTTTTATGTGTACCTTAGCTGCACCTTCAAATTTATCTCTCAAACGGTCGCCCACTTCTCTAAACGTTGGCATTCTCCACCAACATGTACGAAGCGTACAAGACCCTGATAGTCCGTGACATTTACACTCCACTTTCATATTATTTTTAATTGCCTAAAAAGTTTGTGATAGTTATAATGGAGTTATAAATGGATAGGAAACAGGAATTTATCGTCGTACAATATTCTGAATATTCACTATTGTAAGTAATGTTCAAATGAAACTGAAAAACATTTTACTAACCAACCTCCCAGCATTGTGGTTGTGTAATTTGATCAGTGTTTTTATATCGCTTTTTTTTCTATATCGACTGTCCATAAACTCTCTGGACTTCTGTAGCCCAAATCGAACATTATCGCTACAACCACCCCATTGCCATTTATCCGTTTGCACTTGAGATGGCGGCTGGGGTACTTGAGTTACACGTCCTCTTCTAGGTTTTGGAATTTCCTGTGGAAAAATCTCTTTAAGAAAATACCATTGGACTAAAATGTAATATTATTTGTCAAAATCAAAATAAAGTTAGTACTTGAGAAAATTTATTTAAAGAACATTTGATGGTGAACCGTTTTTCATTCTAACCTTTTCACATGAGCATTCAAGGAGGGAGCCAGCTGTACACGCCCGTGTAATAGCGTAAGTAACGCCGGCGGCTGTTATTGCATTCACAAACCCAGTTTCTCTTGTATCTGTAAAAATATTATTGTATCAAAATCCAAATAAAAAATATAGAATTGACAATACGTTCTCTGCAATATCTTTGCAGTTACCTTATGCTACAGAGTGGAATTATGCTCGTGTCGATATCGAAATTACTGCCTAATTTACGTACTATCTCAAATAAATAATAATAATCATAAAAACGTTTATATTTTTATTACAAAACAAAAAAAACGTATAAGATAAAATTAAATATAGTTGAAAAATAAGCTTTTGTGTCACCATGTTACACTTTTTGATATTTTTATGTTTAAAACAAAAAGGTATATATATATATGTATTTATATAGGCAAGTAATCTTTATAATACTTAATAGTCTAACTATACTGAAAACGTTTTGCATAAGCAATTGTTTCGTAGAGCGACAATTATGTAACACATTTATGGACACTTCAGACGATTCGACACACGCTCCGGGGCTAAAGAAATAAAATCCTGAAGCATAAACCACCAACACAATACGGAGTGAAGCTGTTGACCCAAAAATCAATATTCACGGGACTGTAATAAACAACGATGGGCTTCACGAATCGAAGGCTGCATCCATAAAACATGTTATCGTGATACACGGCTGACCCGAATGGAAAGTAACATTGAAACTTTATATATTTAACGTTTTAGTTATAGGAAATCTCTTATTTTTAATTGCAATATAAAGAAGTACTAAAAGCCCTTTCCGTTATGTTTATACGTAAATAGATAAGAAGTTCGTCCACATCCTTTTATTCATTCCTGTTTGCAAGAGACATTACTTTTAAAGAGTTTATTCAGTAGAGGTACATGTCAAGCTGTTTATGATTATAAATATGTATACCTACTGTTAGGATAAATAAAAAACAACCTTATCACAGCGACATAACTGTATAATAATACAATAAATAGCATATGCTCGTTTTTCTTTGACATAGTGTGCATTATGAGGCTGGCTATAACAATTAATGGTGGGTGAAGTTGATGTTGGAATATTCAGATGGCATGAATAATGTGAAAATTGTTGAACCCATCCACTGAATGAGCATCGGACAACGGATAAATAGTGCCCGTTTAGGTCGATGACTTCATATTATCGGACCTCAATGGTTTTAGTTTAGATTGCTTTTATAGATTTCTTGCGTGTCTAAATTAATTGTGAACTTTATTAAACTACGCAATAAACGTTCGATGGAATGTTATTTTAATATAAAATTTTACGAGCACATATTTCAAAATTTTACTGCTTATTCTAATATTACCATTTCAAAGAAAAAGAAAATTAATTTTTTCATTGAACCATATCAAGGTATATACGGATTTATAACATTTATAATAATAATACATAACCTTAAAAAAATTATAGCCTCCTGACAAAAAGTTAGCAGATGATAAGCAGTCTGGTTTTCTTTATAACATAAACAATACGGAAAATTTGGCGGTCCCTACGATCATATTTAGAACAAAAATATGGCATTTAATATTAAAACTACTTGTATATATACAAACAAGAATTCTGCGCGTAATAATAAATTATTTATCAGTCTCCTCTTAAAGGAACTAATTAGTAAGATCTTTAAATGTGTTCACTAAGTCCAACCATTATAAAGCAAAGGGAGACGAAATATCATAACTGTACAGGAATTATCTTAATTTTAATAATCTCTAATTATTATGTTATCTTAGGATGTATCATTATAAAGCATCAAATCTAAATTGACAGATTTCAGGCGTTGACACTATCTTAATAAAGCTGTCACCGATTTTTCACATTATGGGGGTTAACTCATTTTTGTGATAGTAGCGAAGCATTCATTAAGTTTAGATTAGATAACGGAGGCTTATGCAATGCGGTGCAGTTGAGAGAAGATCGGCATCGGCCGCGCCTATCGATCCCATGCTAATTGGGCCTGTTAACTGTGGAGACTCTGTATCGTCGTCGAATTCCGCTCGACTGCCAACAGTCCAAAAAGATACAAAGAAATTTTTTGCGCAAACAATTTATATAATTGACGTGCGACAAAAAAGCGAGAGTGCACACCCATCCAACTCAGAATTCAGCCTGTAATTACATCACGTTTCTGTTTTCGTCGGTGTATTCCATGAGTATTTTTATCTGATATATTAAATTTCGTCGGACATCGCTGAGGATATATCTTGGATGGAATTATGAGCGGAATGTCAATTTCGAGATATTTTGCTAGTCGTTTAGCGGTCGATAGAGAAAAAAAGCGGCGGCGCCGGAGGGGAGGAGAAGCGATGCCATGGGAACAGGTCCGCCCCGCTCGGTCAATGCGAACGTTACGCTTTTTCTGTTCCGTGCGCTGCACTGTCGATAGGAAAGCGCGGCCGCGACACTCAGCCGTCATTATAAATCCGAGGCGGTGAGCTCAGAGCGGAACATTCTTCGCGCTCCACCCGCGTTATGCGGTGTAATTATCGCAAAACGTAGCCCCGACTCGCAAATATGTCGTTGGGAACGAGGGACATGACATTCTCATCACCAAACGTTCCCGTTTTTCTATCGTCTCCAATCTCGAAATATGCGACGTATCGAACCACTCCCACGACGTCCATCAAGGCTTATATTTCGGGCCTCATGACGGAAGTTTTTGTGATGTCTGCCACAAGCGTGTGGAATGCCGGTATTCGTGTTCACATGAATAATTCAGCAAAATTGTCAATCAATCAATAAAACCAATGGATCAAATTGATTCACACTTGTAGATTGTATAGCTTCCATAAGGCGTCGCTCGTGTTTTTGCCGTGTCAGAATACTTTAAAGTCCATTTATTCACGTCCATTCAATCAATAGCACGTGCCCAGTAACAGCCTCATGAAAATACTGTTCATTCTTTTCTTGGATTGGATAATTGACAACTAGTTTCCTTTCAACAGGTGCCAACTTCATGGTAGGTGGAATCTTTAAACCGGTCCTTGCAGGAAATATCGTGGAAACGAACAAGAAACAAGGGCATATAAATTATAAACAATGCTATATGGAGTTATAAAACTGAAACTTGATATATATTATTTTTGTCATAGTTTTTGTGAAGGCCCTAATGTCAATATGACAATTGATGATAAGACAAAGTAACTTTTTTATGGTTTCATACATCAATCAAAAATTGTACTTTTTACCAGCATATCGATTGTTTATCCTGTTTTTTTCAGTGTCATAACTTATGCGTAAAAGGACTGACTATAAAAACAATTCCTGAATTGTAGCTACCTTTTTTCATATTTTAGCATGAATTTGTTTAAGCTCTCAAACTTATCAATGTTTTTTAAATAGTGAAATAGAAAGGGTTATGTTGGTCATGAAAATCTGTCTAACGTTCTTTCTGCTACTTTAAGATGTCGATTGCTATCTAATAGTAATATTGAATGAACAACCTAACTATGCTAAGGCAGTAACAATGCTGTTTCTAGAAGATGATACAATTAATTATTTTTAATTTATATCACAAAAATACATACAATAAAAACACAGTACATTACATATGTATATTTAAAATAGCAGATACAAACGCCAATATATACCATATCGCCAGTTACATGATATAAAATATATACTGCAATGTTAATGAACTAAAACGTTCCAAGGCAGCTGAATTGTTTATCGTCCTGTATGAATCACATATAATTATCCCCAATAAACTGCATCAATGTTTTAATGATTGTATTTTGTAGCACAGCCAATTACAACATTAATCAATGGCATTGGCGACATAAATTATATTGATACAAAGCAAGCGAATACCTTGGTGGATGTCAAAACGATAACGCGGGTTTTCGAGATCATCTACTGCAGGCCATATGTGAAATTGCTGGGAATTTTGCAATTTTAATTTTATTTATAACAAGATGTGCACAACACGAGCACTGGCGTATTCATAATTAAAAAAATAATTAATTAATTTTGCAATAAAAATATTATTTTCATATCTACACATATGTATCTCGTAATAACAAATTTGATGAAACTTCGTTAGAAACGGTTTTGGAAATATTTATATCTTTACACCCCATATTCAAAGCAATGATTATCTAGAGCGCCATAAAAAAATTATATCAATAAAAGTTACTTTTGTATATTATACAAATATAATTAAATCTCATTTATAATCCGCTTTTTATTCATTCTCAACCGGACGTAGCTAGAAACTGATAAACGGACTCGTTCAGATATGGATCGCCTCAACTGTGGCGACTTTAAATTAACTGTTCACGCACTATTGGAATTTAAGATTTGATATGCATACATTACCGACATTTGCCCTTTGCTTACGGTTAACTAATCATCTGTAGAATGCAGGTGATAAAGAGATTAATCTTTTTGCTCGTTAGTTTTAAACGTGCTCAGTGTAAAGTTTTTATTGAGAGGAATTATCAGTTTCTGTTACTTATTTACCAGCTTTATATATGTATGTATTTGTAATATTCAATTTTCATTTTATATTATTGCCACGTCTTTTTGTAGCCGAATTTTATGTAACGAATGTTACAAGTAATATAAATGTAAGTTTGATCACACTATTTATTTAAATATATGTAAGCAATGACTTCTATCTTATTTAATATTATAAAGATCGCATCAGATTAAAAAATATTACGATAATAAACAAATAATATATCAAACAAGTGTCTCAAAGCAAATTGTTTCACGTAACATCTTCAACCCTCCTTCACTTTCCTGGGTGAAACATGGTACGCAATGTTTCCTAGCGAACCTGTCAAGTATCGTGTGTCTTGCCAACCCGCTGTCATAAACATGTATGCCAGTCTACCACCGCGTCCTCCATGCTAACCGCTCATAAAACAAAACTAGTTGTATATTTTCCAGTGACCAGATTACTATGATAATAACTTATCTGGAGTGAGACAAAGTAGATAATAAATTGGTGTTACCCATCTCAAATAAACATACGTAACCCTTGTATAAACGAATGAAGTAGTGAATACTTATAGCCTAAAAAAGCGATCTAAAAGAAAAGTAATTATGCGCGATAAAAGGACGAATGATGGCAACTATAAAAAGCATCACTTTAATACGGAGACAATACATCGGGTTGTCACCGCGACCGCATCGGAATGTTTACGAAAGTATTTTATCTCATCTGATTAATTCAAATATTTCGCGCAATAAATACGGGGAGGGGGTGGACGGGGCTCGTAACGCTGTCAGGATTGTCGTGTGTCGGACAACGCATGCGAGCAATTGCGTCAGTGTCAAGTTGACAGCGCGGCCATTGTGCCTCCCGTGGCCGATATACGATCGTCGCGCGGTCGTAGCGACCGTGCACCTGATTTATCGACGTCCCGCAAACCTCAACGAAGGGCCCTGCTGTCGCCGCCCGAATAAAGCGCATTCTCACGCTACCGAACGCACGCGAACGCTCGCTTGCCCGTATTTAAATTGAACGATCGTTTCTCATTCCTTTCCCCCAGATATTTTACGTCGGGTAATACGATACGACACTGTCCGGCTCTTTCTGCAGTTTTCTCGTTCCTTTTTCTCCTCAGCCCGCTATTGTTCACTTGTCAATTTCTTTAGCTAATGCGAGTAAACGTCTCATTATGCGGTGCGGTGCGTCCGCGACGCGCACTGCGTGTTGTGACAGCAACCACCCACCGGAAGACCGAGCGTCATTCAGCCGCGCACAAAACGCGAATTTATTCAACGAACGTCCTATGGTTAATTTGAATGGGTCGTGCCCATTTAATAGGAATAATTAGCTTTGTTAATGCGAGATCAGAACAAAGACGAAACATCTCCGTTATAAAGCATTTATGTGGTCAGCTAGAATGCTAGTTAACGGCTAATTAGTGGTTGCATATGCTTATCTTCTGAATGGAATTGAAATGGAATGTTGCATTTTAGCTTTGAGTATGTATATTTATAAGGACAATGCTATAGTATTATATATTAATAATCTAATTTGCTTCTTTGTTATATGAGAAACTAAAACATTTATAGTGTAACAAACCAGTAATAATATAAATACGTATTATTTCTTATTTATATACTAAGAAAGCACTTGTACTGTCGAGATCCAAATTTATGATCAAAGTTTATAATCCCTTACACGTTATTTAAGGGAAATAAGACCATATTGCGGTTTTACTGCCCATATTAGTGGTTTTTTCTTTAGTTTGGCATTGACAGTGACAAGTACGGATTGTTGGTGTTCGCGCGCTGGCATTGTGACAGACAGATGTCACCGCAAAATAAAACGTCGAAGTGTTAGTGAGATAAGTAAACATTACCAAGCTAATTTCTATATTTGAACATTTTTGTTTAAGAATGCTCAATTTAGCTTGATGGATGTGTTTTTTTTAAATAACTCGGTATTTTTAAAAATAAATTTTGTATTTTAATTTAAAAACGATTTTATTTATAACTTTTGCAAGTGTTTCATCGAGGTTAACATTATTATTTGGTTTATACAATATGTTTTTTATTAATCCTTTATATACAAGGGTTAATAGGATCTCCGCGAATATTGACAAAACTTTAGAAGTATCTGATAAAAATACAAAAAATCATATAATAGCCTAATTTTAAGATCACAATTTCAATCACATGGTAAAAGCCCATTTTTATCATGTTTTGGAGACATAGAATTTATTGTAAATTCTACTGCGAAAGAAGAGTGATAGATATATCAATAAAAGATATATATGGTCGTATATATCTATTAAGACTAACAACCACAACTTCGAACAATTCAATTGAGCATCATAGATTATTTTGCTTGGATATTGCAATAAAACTCTTAGGTACTAGTAAAATAAATATGTGTTTTTAATAAATGCTATGTATGTGGTCCGCTACCAGATCCCGAATACGATATTGGATTCTATATTTAATCAAACGTTAGGTTAGATAATTTAAAAAAAATGTTTTATAATGTAATGCTAAGGCATGACTGAGGATATAGTAAAACATTTATTATTAGAAAATAACTTCGTCAAAGCTGTGAACATACCATCAGTAATTATTCATCTAGATAGTAACATATACATATTTTATCATGAATCGAACAAAAATAATTTATTTAACTTTGTTTCTGTGAGATTTATTCAAATATCCAACCGGTTATAACGATTCTATTGAAGTCAATCAATTTGTATGTTATATAACCATGTAATCTGCTTAAAATAACATCCACGTTTAAGGGCACATGCATTATTCTGTTAAATATAGATAAGCAAATTCAAACTCCCATATATCTAACCCACGAAAGCATCGAGTTCATTCGATTATTGCCATTAACATATCTCAAAACGTATTAAGATGTACTTAAAATTTAAGTATTGTAAGTGGTTGAACCCGATAATCGATATCGGCTGACGTTCAGGCTGAGAGCGACCATACGAGTGACCGGATTAGATACACAGGAACGGATATTACGCTATAATTAAAAACATTTACGTGTTAGGGCGCCAAATTTATCGCCGAGTTTTTGTATGAAGCCATTCGTGAGTATTTATGTTAGGGTTTCGGGACGTGTGAGGTCCGAGCCCAGCAGTAGTCGGGTTATCGTGTGGTAATCTTTATGGGGCCCCGCTGGCTCCTCAGCGACCTGTCGACACTTAATGGCTCTCTCAGATTAGTACAGGCCCCAATATTTTGGGACACCGTGTTTGTGGGTTTGTTTATAGCTTAATTAGGCTGTTTTGTTTAAGTGGAAGTACCGTCGGTCTAGCCAGATAAGGTGTCGAGGTATTTACGATTTGATGCCGTTGACTTTGATTAGCTTCGTTGTATACGTTTTGTTGCTATTTGTTTTTTGTTCCATGAAAACTAGAAGCATCCATATAATTTATTACTAAATTTCAAATTTATTAGCAAGTTTGTCAAGTTTATAGGTCCGATGAATGTATTTCGACTCTAATTTTATTTCACATAAGAAGATGGAAGATTCGTTTTATACCGGCCCGTATTAAAACAGTATAATGATAAGCATATCACTTTAGATATGAAAGTAACAAAGTATAAGTGAAATTAAAATTGTATTATTTTTATATTGTACCACTGAAACCTCATTAAGCGTAACGTCCGGTCATTAGACAGTAAGTATATTTGATAAGGCAATTTAAATAAAAATGAAATCCTTTTTCATTGATAAAGATTTGACACAGAAAAACAACGACGTGAGGAATGCACGGACTTACTAATGAAAGGGACCAATTAACGATGATAATTTTTTTCTTATGACAAATCTTATACATGGTGTTGTCAAACTGGATAAAAATATGTGTCCGAATAATATTTAATTTATTTTATTAAGTACAAAAATGATATTATTTTAATTGTTACCAGACTGAAAATTATGAATACAATATATAAACATATTTAATATGGTTGCAGATAAGAATTTGTTAACAACAAACTCTCCGCATACATAATTTGAATAAACACTCATAAGTTTTTAGTAACTTCATTTTCGAAAGTGAATCCAATACTAGACTCGTACTATCTTATTATGATCATACTGTATTCTACTTCATGTCACCAAGTGATAAAAATCCGGGACTAATTCAGGCAGTACGCGCCACCCATAGCTGTTCACATCGATTTATGGGCTTTTATCCTAATTTGTTGCTTTGCCCGGAATTAACCGCCCACACTGCCATCTCTGTTTAGCGATTGGTATTAATTAAACCTTTTATAAATTAACCTTCTTTTCTAATCTCCCAAATTATTTTATAATTTGAAAACAAAAAGTTATTCTTATCATTAATTTATTTAATATTACGAATCATATTCAATGAGTCCAAACATTATATGTTTCAAATATGAAATATAATGTATTCGTAGATACTTTAATAATATTTCTATGAAAACCTTTTCAAAAACATCGCCTATTTCCGCCTTCATATCGCATCACGTAGAAATACTGTAAAGATCTAATCAACAAAATCAGTTGACACTGAGACACGTGGTGTCTTAAACTGTTAGCAGGTTAGCTTATCATCAAACAGATCCTAGACAGTGCTGTACGTGCGACCATTACATTGCTAGATATTAGTTCACGGTAACTGCGTGGGCAGAGTCTACACTTTACAGAATTAATGTGAAGTCCTTTTGATGTAACACCCGCTTTGCGCAAAACGTTACAATTATACGTTCAAAGTAAATGCAAATATACATATATACAATGTAGTATTTATTAAATCGTTTTTAGATAAACAGAGCAATCTAGATCATGATAAATTATACAAATGAAACTATAAATATAAACGCTCATACCCACTAACATATCCCATTTACTTAATACGTCCAACAAAATACCACAAAATAAGCTATCTCTCCGAGCAATAAAGCAGTTAATTATGTATCTTACATTAGCAAAATGACTGCTGATAACCAAAAAATTATAAAACAAGCGCTGACATTTAAAACGGCTCGTATTTTAAAATGCAATAATATATAGACGAAAATAATTTGTTTTTTCTTAAGTGTCCTAAAAAGGTACGATAAAAACGATATAAGTTACAAAAACGTCTCAAACCTCGTATGGTGAGGTTAATAAATATTTCGTTTATGCAAGCGAATATTTGACATATACCACTTAATTTACACTAATGAATGCCAAATGAATGCACGACGACAACTAATGGTCAGCGTTTAGGACAGTGAAGTGTCATTAATTAATGTACATATATCGATAGTAAACATATATGGTCTATCTAATTGTATGTTTTACGATAAACATGTACATAGATATATGTTAATAAGACTATTTAATAAACTAGACAAGTAACAAAATTTATGTATAAACCTGGCAACTATTGCCCATAATTTATATATGAAATAACAGATTAACGATTAAGATAAATAAAAAAACAAAATAAATTAGCTAATTGCTACAGAACCAACAGGCACTTGAAAATTTTATAGAATAAATTAAAAATTCGTCAACAGACAGGCAAAATAATAAACAAAATCGTAAAAAGATAATTTAATGCAATTTGTTTTTAATAATTCCTAATTTAATTTAAGAAGCGCACCCACTATCGATAAAGTAATCGCAGCACTAAAACGAATGAATTTAGATAAGCGATCGTTCGCATAAAAATCAACTGTTTTCGCCTAATCGAATTAGGCACCGATAGTTATCATCGATTCAACACATTTTGCATTCTTTGTCCCTCGACTAATCAACCTGGCAGGTAGCAATCCTTTGCCATAACTTAATGTTTAAGATACCTTGAGTATCAACTACGTATTAAAATTACATTTTTTTATACTCCTGATATTTGATAATTGTTTCATATATATTTGTTATTTTTTTATTATTATTTAAGTATATTTTATATAAATAAAGTCATAAAAGCTAAACATGGGATTACAAAGTCCCCCAATTTTTTATAGGTATAAAATAAAAACAAAGAAATTGGGACAGTCGTTAAAATTTTTATATTAATGTAAGTCTTTTAATATAAGTATGTAATATAAAAATGTATTTATGCATTTGAATTAAGTAAAACAAGACGTCAATAACATTGTTATGGAATAACACATTAGATACAGTTATATTTATTTATTTAACTCTTTATTGCACACCAAATATACCTACATAAAAATAAAAACCTTTTGGAATGTATAAAATAAAATATATTTAAATATACACTTAATTTTTACTAAACTTCACAGTTATATTGCTTAAAAACTATTGCTTTTCTCAAAGTTATTGATATATCAATCAAGACTAAGTTTACCACTTTATAATATTAAAAAACAGTTATAAAATCTCGATATTCAACAGCTAAATCTAAATTCCAAGTTATAGCGTTACTAAAATTTAGCTTTATAATAGTAAATTAATAAAAAATAAAAGAACAAAACGAGAATAGGTAATAATTTTGATCTGACACTTAAAACGACAAACCTCAAAATAAATTTATTCCCTATGCTAATTTATAGGTTCGGAAGCATAATATTTATTGATTAAATTATCATAAAAGTGCATTTTAAAGAATTATCCATTTGTATCAATAAAAACTAAGTCAGAAATAAAACTAAATAAAATTCCGACTGTTTTAACGTGGCATATAATATTTGGGTTACATTACAAAACAAAAATAGGGTTATAAGAATATTATTTTTAGTATTATTTTCAGCAGTTATTAGTAGATGGAAGCGACTATAAAGGAGAAACTATGAAGCACTATTTAAAAGAATTATTTGAAAACCAAAATGTAATGCAGTGTATGCAAAACATAACAACTTCGACTGATATCTGAAGTTTAGGTAACTTGAAATGTAGGGATGTTTGGAATTTGTTAGGATGAAGTCATGCAACTCAATTTCAATGTAAATCCATGCTTGCATACTAATATTTTCTACAATATTTCTACAACATGAATATCAAATGAAAGCACTTGTCAAGAATAAAACGAAAAATAAAGTGTCATCGGACTAAATCCAACGCAAACGAGCGTGTCCAGAAACAAATAAAATGTCTAAAATAAATGAAAATTAAAAAGCCTTCTCAAAAACAAAAGCTCTTATGTAAATAAGCTAATATGACCAAATATATGTATATATTTATTATTTAAACGTTTTGTTATTTACTTATACCTGTTTGCATAATTTATGTGATATAGAAAATTATTCGGTGATATATTTCTCTAGAAAAAAAGTAAATTAAATAACTTAATTCGGTTAATTTAAACTATTAAAATTTCATATTAAATAAATAAGAGCATTTAAGTCTTTCATTTAATTTTTTATCAAAAAGGGTTTTTATTTTTAAAGTTTTCTATCAATTTCTTTCTTACCTTATTTGTTACGGAACAGGCCAGTTGTTTTAAAATATTAAAAGTATTTTTCTGGTGAATGACTAGAATAACAGACAATATATATTAACTTGTTACCTCTCATAAGGATTTTCCTCATGCTGCGTCTTTGGGTGGTACAGTTCCACCTTCTGTTCCTGAACTGGTGAGCGCACTCCGTGGCTCCGAGGGTCACGCCGCGGCTTATCTCCTTCAGCAGTCCAGTCTCGTTCTTGCAGATAGAAGCCAACCGGCCACGAACACGACGGTTCTTTTTACAGACCATTCGTGGATCAAGAATCACCGCGCTGCCAGACGCCCTGCACACAGACGTTACATCTAATTAAAAATTAATTGCCATTTCGTTATAATTTAATAATAAGTTCCTCTCCGTATAACAGATCATACAGACACTTCGTGATAGGTAAATATTTAAACAACATAATCAACAAACTTCTTAAGCAACTGGAAATCGAAATTAGGAAAATGAGTCATGAGCATACTACGAAATAGTAGATAAATATGAATAGTATTCAACATATGTTTCTCAATATCATCTACTACTAACAGTGAATGAAGTTTATTTTTGCGATTGTTTACTCTGTTCCAACACATGACGTGAGTGAATCTTCCGAGCAGCAATATTTTAACAGAGGTGTGGCATTCCTAACAAGAGCTCAAAAATACGATGATTATGAAGAAAATGTTGTTACGTGTCGTTCATCTATCGCCTATGTTGTATACAAAACAAATAAAATCAAAATTAAGTTATATATGTACAAGTACTGTTAACCATAATGCCAATATTTTACTATAGAATAATGGTAAATAATACCTATAGTAAATCTATTAGGAAGATCTAATATCATCATCATCTGCCTTCTTCACTTGGCAATATATAAAGCCATTTCGTCAAAAAATGTAATCAAATTACCCATAATACATATATGTAATAAATAACATTTACTGGATACATTTTTATGTGCCCTAACCATTCAAATAGCACTTAATTTAGCTTTCTGAAAGCATCGTTGTGAAAGTGTTTTAAAACGTCTAAATCTCATAAACTATGTGTAATAACCCGCGTAGCTACTTTTTAATACTAAATTACAATTATATACCTAAACAATTACCCTACCATAGAGGGCTTCCATATAGTACATAGAAAATATACCCGTATGGTAAGTACATTTATTTAAGAATTTCTTGTAAAATAAGCAATTTCAAAATCAGAACGTACCTAATTACAGAAACGATCGTAAAAATCAACTCACTACAACTAGTGTTGTGCTTCGAATCTGTAAATATCGATTTACGATCTGCCACGGGTTCGTCGAGAGACGAGCGCCAGGTCGCGTTGAGTGATCGAGTGTTTACTCGATAAGAGTTCATTGTCAGAGCAGCGAGTGCGAAGCTTAGTCGAATAAATTTAGACCAGTCTGGAGACTACCGGGAAGTCTCGAGACTGATCTATTGCATTACATTTTTAAGCTATTAGATAGATGCTAGAATTGATTTTAGATTGTCTCCGTTTAAACGAGTTTGGTCGTTGACTGCAACATGGTCCGAACATTATAACTCGTTGAGGACGAGATTTATCAGGCTTAATATAATTATATAAGTTATAGAGAGAGAACTTCAATACAAATAGACTATATCTATTCGTATTTAAATATATATATTTTATCAAAACAATTTAAAGGGTGAAAATGTTTCTTAATTTAACTACATATATGAAATCCAAAAATAAATATTTCTCCTAATTATATATTGTATGAGACAGAAATTAACTGTTGAAACAGCATCTCTTTCTAAAGTCAATCTATCCTATTCTGTTTGATGTATTTTGGCTCGAGACTGGAAAATAAACCATATGGTTTCTATAATCTATCATGTCGAATTGATTTTACATTGCACATATATCTTTGAACTCATCTTGTTCCATGACTTCCAAATTTTGTGATAATTTTTTTATCATATTGATATATTAAATTTAACACAAAAAATTGGTAACAGTACATGACAAAACCCAGCCAACGCCTATACATATATCTCATGCCGAAATACCAAAAGAATTTACATAGTAATTTACATCAAGAATTATAAACTACTAATGATTGACCTTGCTGTTTTACTACTACTATAAAAGTGCTACAACACTAAAAGTCAGAAAGCGAGTAAGTTACGAGCCGTGCCAGAAATGCAGGGCATCCACAAATGATTTTCTTAACCCATACTCTGAATGTGTTTACGTGATTATAACAAATTTCATCATAGGAATTCTGTGGCATGTTTTTGTAACATATGGTTTCATGTAACTATAAAATCAAAAACAATCAATAGAAAAGAATTTAATTTTAAATAGTATTACTAATGAACAGAATTTCAACAGATTCAAGTAACAGAAAAATGTTAATTAAAAACTATACATCACCTTAAATATTTTAATTCAAGCAGGACTCTTTCCAAATTGGCAAAACGAGATCGGTTGCTCATTTAAAAATCTCTAACAAAGATTCATTGCTCTCGTGGACGTTCGCTTGGAATCATTACCAGCGCTTGTATTAGTTGAATCAATCGGCGTGGAGTGGCGTTTGAATGCGACTGTGGTGACACCTAGCGACATACGTCAGCCGGGATGGTCAAATGTATACGAGATTGCGACCCGATCCAGTCAACATTCGGAATTGTTCCCAGTTTTTTATGGCTGTAGTTTTGTATGCGCAATAATTTAATTTACCATATACTTGTGTTTTTGTTGTACGGCCAACTATCGCAGGTTCTGTTTAACCTCGTGAGAAGGCATCATGTGTATTTGTTTACTTTTTCGGTAAAATATACAGAAAGGCTATTTGTTAATTACTAGGTATTTGACTAAAACATACTCGTATATGTATCGCTTTATTTTTTATTACTTTATGTAAAACACATAGTTTAATTTAGTATTAGGTCAGGAAGGTTTTTAAATGAATTTTTAAGAAAAAAAGGTATTAAAAATGTAGCAGTGAGTTTTCTGACACAGATTCTTAGAATGAAAAGGCAATGTAAATATTACAAAAGAGAATATGCGCCTTTGTTGGCTGACCTTATCCAAGATATTCTTTAGGACAATGCAAACTCCACAAGTGGGTAGTGTGAGACCCACATTATATTTAAAATATTTTTAACACGTACATATTTACTTTGAGTCAGTAAGTAGCATTTATTTGCCGTAATTATTGTCGCTGCAACTGAAGTGCGGTTACGACATACGTCAATGAACAGTTTCAGTTTATTTTGGGTTCAATTTAAGTGTATCTTAGTGACAGCATGGCTTCACTGAAGCTAGAAAATGATACCCTGCTTCTCACTGAACAAAATTAGATTTATTCTCAACGAGTAGAGTTCATAATACTCTGCGCTCATCTCTAATGGAATATTGCCAATGCAATGACAAACCTCTGTCTATCCAGACGAATAAATTAGCTGTGATAAGTTGTATGTCAATTAATTATTCTTCAAAGCACCATCTGGTGTGAAACTCGGCTAAGCGCAGCGAGGAAATGACCTAAAGATATTAAATAACTAAATTTGAAATTATTATATGGAGGCTAATTTAAAATCAAAGGAGGAAAAATAACGTCTTTCAATAAACTGAAACGTTTTCATTAAGAGCTTTCATACTAACAATTGTATTAACCTTTGATCGATTACAATTCTTTTGCCAAATAGATTTGTAACCCGGTTAAAATTGCGGTCCCTTTTCCGTATTTATATATCACTGATGACGTCACAAGCCCTGACCTACGATAACAATTGGCACGAACACGAATCAGTTTTATTAGACTTTACCGAGATTATACTCACTAATTACCGGACGATTTATTTAGCCCACTTTCATTTGTTCATCCCGTTAAAGTTTGCTCGTTCTTTTGAAGAAACAGTAATTGCATTTAGTACTATCGAGGTGCTGGCGGTTTGATAATTAATAAGTATATGGAAGAAAAAATATAATGATTTTTATTTATCTAAGACTAGGTCAGAGATTAAAGTAATTGGAAACTATTTTAATTATAACAATTAACAACCGTTTACTTCATCAATTGATAAAATAACGTCACTCATTCAAAAAGAATTGTTCGTAAGACATCTAAAAGGCATCTTAGATGTAGCCAGAATTCCCAACACAGAAACAAGTCAACAATCAAAAGTTGAACTAGTTCATTTAGCACCAGTGCGACGGCCTGTCGCGCGGCGGCCAACGCATGTTTGCCTCGTATTTAGCGAGCCCTCGCTAAACAGTGTCGTTCTGATACAGGGCAACATAGATTAAAAGATGAAAGCGATCATTACAATTTAAATAATTCATTTGAACTAGTACAGATATTGCAAATATATAAAATAGATATGTATGATATGTAAGCAAAGCTAACTTTAGTTTACTAGGCAATGTAAATTTGGGTTTTCTTTCTTACTGCTAACAATAAATGCTTGGTTACAGTTGTGTATTTCTGACATAATTACTAAAAATAAATGTCCACATATGAGTATCCAAGTATGTATGTAACTCCATACTCGTATATTCTTTGGCCCGGTGTCAGTCAATGGACAGAGCGTTATTAAGCGTTGCTTCAATTTACGCCGTTGGGTCTATTACGTGACTACCATCATAACTGAGACTCTCGATTAGCTAATATTTTCTTGAAATTCGGCACATAAAACTAACTTTATTTCAACATACAAAACTTAAATTAAAAAATAAATTATTAACGTATTTCTAAATTGCTGAAATTAGAAATGTCGAATATAAATTAATATTTTATTTTATCAATAAAAACCTTCTATACAATATATGTATATAAAATTATTACAATGTGGTTTTTCTATTATTCTTTTCACATGTCACAACTTTAAAAGTGTAAAAATACCAACAATGGCCGCGGATGTCTCAGACCCAATTTCAAATAGCCTGACAAATACATACTATGAACATCTATGATGTGAACACTAAAACCTTGCGACAACATTGCTCATCGCCACATAAACTTTTAAAAGTGTTTGCTCTCATATAGTGACAGAACTATCTAGTCTGACGATTATAGGCTGACAATCCATCATTATTACATTCCTGGTCACTGCTATTATAGAAAAAATAAGGCTTGAAATGCAATAATTCATATGACCATAGTTTGGCGCTACGGCGATGGTAATGATGTTTACAGTTAAGTCGTCATGTGGTCGCTAATCACGTCGAAGTCGCGAGTTAGCGCCTCGCCCGGTGTCCACAAACAAACTCATTCATTGTCACCGGTTGAATGAGGACCAATCGGCCCTGATGGCT